GCTGGTAAGAAAGAATTAGGTGATTTTGCGAACAATTTGGTTATAGTATAGGTACATCTCCTAATAAAATACATAAAAAGAAAAAATATAAAGCAGAGAGAAAAAATAAGAAAAATAAGCGAGAGAAATTTATTAAAAATTTTTCCTCTAAAACCAAAAAAGGGAAAAAAAAATTACCTGTATGTTACAAGTGTGGAAAAGTTGGACATTATAAAAGGAATTGCAAAATAAAAAGAAAAATAGATACTATAATGCTAGATGAAACCATTAGAAACATAATCTATGATATAATACAAATCTATGATTCAAATAGTAGTTCCACTGAAGACACAAATGAAAGTGATAGTTCATTAATAGGTCACATTGAAGATGAAAATCTAGTATGGAGTAGTTCTGAAAATCAATCAGATAATGAAAAAATGGAAGAATGTTCTTGCAATACTCTCACTAATGACGTTTTAGATCTAATCGAGAAAATTGCAGACCCTAATGAAAAATGAGAGGTAATAACTCAATATTTAAAATTTGCTAAATTAAAAAATAAATCGCCACCATTAATAAAACCAGCAGATGAATATAGTTTTTCAGAAATCATAAAAAGAATAAATAAAAGGGATATAATTAATAAAGAACCTACAATATCTGATTTAAAAAGAGAAATAAATGAAGTCAAAGAAGTACAACATCTAAAAAATAGAATTAAAATATTAGAACTTCACAATGAAGTATCAGGAGAATTTTCTGACACAGATGAATTAGAATTTAATCAACTAGTAGATATTCATAATAATAAATCCATAGCAAAAACTTTTGAACCTTCTGAAACCAATATTGAAAACAATTTGAATTTAATAAATAGAATCATTACACAAAAATGGTTTACCCTAATAAGAATTATAGTAAAAAATGATTATAGTTTTCAATCTTTAGCATTAATGGACTTTGGAGCTGATTTGAATTGTATCAATGAAGGCTTTGTCCCCACTAAATATTTTGATAAAACGAAACAAGCTCTAAATACTGCAAATGGAAGCAGACTAATAATTAAATATAAATTATCTGATACAATTGTTTGTAATAATGGTAATTGTATAACAACACCTTTTATTATGGTTAAAGGTTTAAGTCAGGCTGTAATATTAGGAACACCTTTTTTAAGCCTACTTTATCCCTTAACTATAGACACTACTAGTATAAAAACAACTATAGATGGTCATAAAATCAAATTTGAAATTATCTGATACAGTTGTTTGTAATAATGGTAATTGTATAACACCTTTTATTATGGTTAAAGGTTTATGTCAGGCTGTAATATTAGGAACACCTTTTTTAAGCCTACTTTATCCCTTTACTATAGACGCTACTGGTATAGAAACAACATTAGATGGTCATGAAGTCAAATTTGAATTTATAGATAAGCCAAAAATTAAAGAAATTAATAATGTAAAACATCATATAGAAAGTAAAGAAAAATTTCTCTGTTACCTTAAAATAGAAATAAAATATAAACAAGTAGAGGAAGATCCAACTCTTCCTGAAACCCAAGAAGAAATTATTTCAATAAAAACCAAAATTGAAAAAAAAATATGTAGTGATTTACCTAATGCCTTTTGGGAAAGAAAGAAGCATATGGTTAGCTTACCATATGAACCAGATTTTACTGAAAATAAAATACCTACTAAAGCAAGACCAATACAAATGAATGCAAAATTATTAGAATTTTGCAAAAAAGAAATAGATGTACTAAAGGTCTAATTAGAAAAAGTGCATCCCCTTGGAGCTGTGCTGCATTTTATGTGAATAAGAATGCAGTAAAAGAAAGAGGAGTTTCAAGATTAGTAATAAATTATGAACCATTAAATAAAGCACTCTAATGGATAAGTTATCCTATACCGATTAAAAAGGATTTATTAGATAGACTAATAAATGCTTGTATTTTTTCAAAATTTGATTTCAAATCAGGATATTGGCAAATTCAAATAAAAGAAGAAGATAGATATAACACTGCATTTAATGTACCCTTTGGACAATTTGAGTGGAATGTTATGCCATTTGGCCTAAAAAATGCTCCATCAGAATTTAAGAAAATAATGAACGATGTGTTTAATCCTTATTTAAATTTATGATAGTATATATAGATGATGTTTTAATTTTCTCAGAAAATATACCTCAACATATTAAACATAGAAATGTTTTTATTAATGCTGTAAAACATGCAGGATTGGTTGTCTCTGCAAAAAAGATAAGTTTATTTCAAACTAAAATAAGATTCTTATGACATAATATTTATCAAGGTACAATTGTACTTATAGATAGAGCAATCCAATTTGCTGATAAATTTCTTGATATAATATTAGATAAAAAAGAATTGCAAAGATTCTTAGGATGTCTAAATTATATATCCGATTTTTATGAAAATCTAGCTATAGAAGCAAAACCATTATATGATAGACTACGAAAAAATCCTCCTAAATGGACAGAAGAACATGCCATAGCTGTCAAGAGGTTAAAGCTTAAAACAAAAGAGTTACCATGTTTAAATTTACCAGATCCACATGCATCCCAGATTATAGATTCTGATGCCTCAGAATTAGGTTTAGGATGAATATTAAAACAGCAAAAAGGAAATATTGAACAATTAGTTTACATATATATATATATATATATATATACAAAAATATGTTTTTTGTGATGAATATGAGAAAAATATTTCTTTCTTTTTAATGTTATATATTTTTTATGAGCTTCTTGGATTGTTTTTAATGTTATATTTATTTTTTTTTGTGATGAATATGTGAAAAAAAGTATTTCTTTTTATATATTTTTTTTATATAAAAGTATGTTTTTTTGTTCTACTTTCTTCTTTTGTGTGGAAATGTGGAATGAGTTTGTGTTGACTGAATGGTATCAAAACATTCACGTTTTTTGGTTAAGTTTACAATGAATTCTTTGGGCTTTTGATAGGAAATCATAGCAGTTCGTAAATGTACTCCATTCTTTGCTGCATTTTATCTTTCAAATCGTATCCTTTTGCCGGTTGTCATGCTACAAATATCCAGCCACATCTAGTTTGGACTTTGGAACAGTTACGACCTCTTTATATGACATTTCATTAGGCTAGACTTTATACGTACCAATATATTTATTGCAACACTACTGACTGTTATTCAGTGAGAATCTATGGAATTACTGTAGAAGTCGTGTGAATTTGCAAGAATTTTCTATTGCTCTATTGAAGCCATGAATTGTCTGCACCTTATGATGCAACTTGATCCAAATGACTAATATATGACCAGTCTAGAAGATGAAAAGAAAAAAGAAAATGACTTGTATATAGTCTAATCTAAGTTTTTCTATTTTTTTATTTTTTTAAAATATTTTGGGGGTTTTTTGCCCATTTTTTTAAAAAAATCTACTTGACCGGTTAATCGCCCCTGTTAGTCCGGTTCCGATTTGAGCTGCTCCTAGGCTCATGACCGGTTAATCGTTGTGGTTCAATTTTGCAAACACTGGTCTTTACACAATTTTTTTTTAAATTTTTTGGATCAGTCAATCTTCACAGTTCACACAAATAAGCAAAGTGTTTATACTAAAGAGATTGCCAATTGGTTTGGTGCACCAAACCAGCATAAGTCAAGATATAATGCTTCATTGTGAGAGATATATGTTTGATCTGGCAAATGTATGGCAAATGTACGATACACCTTACATTTTTCTCAAAGTTTTGTATCCACCATCTTGCCTTCAAATCCTAAACTGGTATCCTATGTCTACTTAGACAGCATATAGCACCCTAACAAGAAACCACTCTTGAAACTCATAAAGCATTTGAAATGTTTGGAGATAGTTCATAATTTGCATCCAAAGGTGCAGGTTTAAATGTTAAATGTTTGTTGTCCTGCGTACTTTGATCGGAATCTAATCTATATATACTTGAAGATTTTCTTTGGTGATGTGTGACCTTGCCATTTTATTATGGGACTGGATGAGTCAATATCCAATTTACAACCTATTAAAGTGTTTTAAGTGCAGGCCACTACCAAACAATGCATTTAAATGATGAACATTATAAACATTTTTCTTTTACAAAAATACTATGTGCAAATTGACTATTATAAACAGTTTTCTTCTATGGAATTTGCAAAAATACTATGTGCAAATTGACATGAAGCACTATATATGTACTTACAAGCTTAGGGGCTTTTTTTTTAGAGAAACAAGCTTAGGGGCTTTGTTGAGGCATAGATTTCCTTTGAAAGTTTGCATAAGAGATAAATCTTGAATACTGTTGTCATAGGTATTCCCATCTCTATCTGCCCCATATCATGGTGAAGGAAAACATTCAAATGTTCCTCAAATACAAGAACCACTCTTTAATGCTGCTATGGTCACTAGGAATAGCACACTTGTTATTGTCGCCACATGGGAGACACCCCACAATAGTCGACTCCTTTTCCTTTCAAAACCCAAATGTTTAAATTGTGCCTAGTACATTCTCCTTACTTTCTGATTTGACTATCAAATAATTATGGGGTTCCAAAGGAAACTTGGGACAATCAAGAGATGAAATAAAATTTCTGAAATAATAAATGGTGGTAGAGAGAGTTTTTAATAGAAACATAAAAAGAGAGAAAGTTTGTATATACCAGTTCTTTCAACATGCAGTAGCCTCTTGTGGGTAGTCAAACATTGTTGTACAATTGATATTGAAGTAACATATTGAGATGGTTTGCTTTTCCGAGCATTTTAAGCCAAGAAGACATGACAGAATGATGTTTTTCTCCATGTTTTTTTATGCTGAATTATCAATGTGCAATTTGGATTGTATGCATGCAACATATTCAATCTCATGTGCTAGTGACTCAACCTTCTATTGCAAACATTTATGCATCCATTGAACCAGAAGTTCAGAACATATTTTTTTATTCATTTCTATATAATTTAGTTAAATGAGATATCATGATGCTATATTCCAATATGTTTGTATACATTTCCAACAGGATTTGATGCCCCGAGCATGAACTTAAGATCTCAGAGTGAGTGCATTCAACACAAACATGCCACACAGGACAAGACCAATGACAGGACTTTTGGTTTTCTTCGGAGTGAATGTTGTTTTGGTGTCCACTATCACTCCTGTTTATGATTTTGTTTGCTTTCTACCTTATTGGGAGAGAAGGGTACGATTCTTATTTCACAATTTTCTTGTTTGTGTATTATCTAATGTTCTCTTGAAAAAGGTTTTAGCTGTAGTTTGCCTTTCTCTTCTTAACAAAAATGCATATTGGAGATTTAGGCAAAATATTGCAGACTTGCATTTCATGTTAATTGATATTCCTATATATCCTCTATTGATACATCAAACAATTAGAAGTTACAACATTGAGAATTTCATCAAGTGCCACAATCTTAAATTGACTTGTGTAAGTCTCAATGTAAATTAAGATTTTTGTCTTTCTTAATTTTTCTTTTTTGAAGTTTTCTTTATAATAATATTTTGGCCTTCTTGAATGAATTGGAGAAATTGGAAATTTCTTTTTTCTTGATTATTATTATTATTATTATTATTATTATTATTTTGTTTGGGGGGGATGGGTAGGGATTGGGTGAGATGGGAACACAATTTTTTTAGTTAGAGGAAACTGATCAAAGTCCATGATTTTTATTATTGGGGCATGGTATTTTAGAAGGTGGAACTCACTGCCAAAGCAGCCAAATATCCAAGTCAAGACGCCGCATTATTGAGGTGCTCCAAAAATAGAAAGGGGTTCAGCAGTGTTGGGGAGAAAAGGATGGTCGCCAACCCTCCCCCCCATTCCACCCCCACATCAAATAAAATAAAATAAATAAATAATATAAAATAAAGGGAAAATTACATATACATCTGTTATATTTATCATTATTACAAAAATACCTTAAAGTTTTTGTTATTACACATATATCCATTTTTTCAACTTCATAACAGTTTTTTTTAAAAAGGCGAACTACCCATTTTCGGTTTCTCAAAAAACCGAAATATTTAAAATTTTTGGTTTTATGAAAATTGAAATTCTTAAAGATTTCGGTTATTCAAGAATCAAAATTTAAGAATTTTTCAGATTTTTAAAATCCAGATTTATATTTATTCCAATTTTTGAAAACCAAAAATTTATGCACTAGAACCCTGAAATAACATTATCCTATGAGCATTTTTCTCTATATTTTAGGGTTTCAAAAAAAATTCTCTCCCCTACTCTACCACACCCTCTCACCGTCCCTCTCTCTCTAACCCACGCACTTGAATATATTTGCTCTCGGTCTCATTGTGATTGATGCATTTCTTACTCTTGCCTTATACTATTGATTAAATTTGATTGAATTAACACAAAATATTTATTATTTATCTTTGAAGTGAATTTTTTTGGGTAAATACTGGATTGAATAATTGATTTATTTACTAGTACACTGTATTGCTCAATTTTGTCCCATGGGCAAGGCCAACATGCTAGATCTATTACGTAAAATTCATATTTTGTGAACCCTCAATTAGTTACATATATCCCAATTTTTTTATGCTTTATTTTATTTATTGTCTGTAACACGAATTTTGATATTCATTTAATACAGTAGTATTGACAATGATTACCGAGGGAGTGCAACTGGTATTTCGATATGGGGGGTCTTTTGAGACAAACCCAGATTACCCGATGTCTTTTTTTATATATGGAGAAAATTGAAGGTTACAAAATTCCATGGAAATAGTTCCTTGGAGCAACTAAAAAGGTCATTTTGGAAATTAACATTTTGTGCTCCAAACAAGTTGACTGTTATGTACCACAACACGACTCTATATAGTGGCCTTGAATTGATTGACATAAGTGATAATATAGATTTATCTTTTATGTTGGCAGTGGTGTTTTCGAGTATTTTTGTATACATTGCATCTATAATAGAGCCGGAGCGGAGGTCAATGGTATTCCAAACGGCAGATTTTGTTGGTGATGACCCATCTACAAGGAATAGGTACATCTATAATTTACATTTTCATCTCTAATTTACTTTAATTGAATTGTCCATGTGCACAAACTGTTGCTTCAACTTATACTGTATCTTTTGTTAAAAATTGTCGGAACGCACCTTTACCTGATCATTTAAAGAATATCCAAGTGGTGCTCGTCCAATTAGAAAACGAGCCTAAGCTTCTATCAAAGCGTGATGTTGAGGATATTGAACCGATTGAAAGCCCATGTAAAGGAATTGGTAACAAGGTTGTTTTGGAATTTAGCCAATATTTTGAAAATACTAATGAACGTCGACATTATGTGGTTGATTTTGTTGTTTACATTAATTTTATTTTAAAGTTTGTCAAAAGCTAAGGAGGGTGGGTACAGGCAAGTTCTAAATCAGAGGGATGTACGTGGCAAGTGCAATGCTTAAGAGTTGGTAATACGACAGACTTGAAAGTGAAGTCCACGATTAAGGGGCACACATGTAGTGGTACAATAGGGATGGTCCATCAGCCGCTAGCTCATAATGATTTGGTGGCAAAAAAAATTAAAGCTCGCATTCATGACCAATCTAAGATTACAACGAAAGACATTATAAAGGATGTCACGGTGTCAAGCTTTCCTACATGCAAGCATGACGGGCCAAAGAGGTTGCTAGGGAGATGGTAGATGGGTCACACGGATAAAGGCAGGTTCAAACGACTATTTAAAGCCTTTCGTCCTTGCATCATAAGTTTTGTTAATTGATGCAGACTAGTAATGGGTATTAATGGAACATTCTTAAAAGTAAAATATCAAGGTATATTATTGTTTGTCATTGCCATAGATGCAAATAATAACATCTTCTCAATAGCATTTGCAGTGGTCGAAGAGGAGAACTACCAGAATTGGCGTTGGTTCTTGAGAATTATGAGTTATGTATTCAATGAGCATGTCAATCTGTCTATCTTGACAATTGTTTCTCATCGACAAAAAAGCCTACTAGAAGTAATAGTAAAGTGTTTTCCCATATGTTTTCGAGCATACTACATGCGACATTTAGAAGAAAACTTCATGAGCTTTATGAAGAAGTCAACAAATAAAACAATATTGCTCATGTTGTTTTGGAAGGCTGTTCACAAAATGACCATTGGTGGGTTTGATAAAATAGTGTTGAATATGTAGTTTGCCGACCTAGAAGCATATAAGTGGATTAAGAATATCCCTCTCAAATATTAGGCAAATGCCCATTTTCCAGGGTTTAGATACAATTATCTTACCTAGAACATGGCTGAGTCATTCAACAGCTATATTTTATTTGCTTGGGACAAGCTGATCAGTTCTTTGTGTGACGACCTAAGAGTATAGTTGATGTGCATGTTTGAAGAGAAGAGGGAGTTAACTAATATCTAGAGCGGCGTGCTGGTATCGAAAGCCCAAGAATATCTGACTTGCGAAAGATGAAGGCAAGATTCTTACACAGTTATATCGGCTATGGATACGCAGTTCAAGATCCACTATGCAGGGGAGAAGTTTGTTATAGAGTTAACTCAATGGACGTGCAGTTGTAGCAAATGGCAAATCGGTGGCATACCATGTAGTCATGCCATTGCGGCTATTAACCACATGCACATGGATGTCATTGCGTTTTGCAGTCGGCATTTCACAGTGGAATATTTTAAAAGGGCCTTCCAAACACTCTTTGGGCCTGTTCTGGATGATTTTGAGTTGATTGGTATGTTTAACAAGATGACATGCCTTCCTAGAAGGGCAAAGAAGCAACAAAACAAATTCTTGATTGAACACTCCACTAGGGCATTGAAGTGCAAGTGATGCGGCATATTGGGTCATAATAGCAGGACCTGCAAAGAACCAATAGGTCATTAGGGAATGGTAGGTTCTTAATGATGTATCAAATCATCAATTTGGGGAATGTCATTTGATGGAAACGTTTTGGGGAATTAATGTCATTATATTGTGGAATGAATGTCATTGCAAACTTTGAAATAATGGAGTTCTTGAATTTTAGAAAACGAGTGAGCAAATTTTGGTCCATGATGGTTTTGAAATTTTTTAAAAAAACGAATGAGCAAATTATCGGATTTTCGGTTTTTCAAAAACTGAAAATTGAATTTCATTCCTAGTAACTTACTGGAATTTTTTTTGAAATCAGTAACTTACTGGAAATTAACAATGATTTTTACTTATTCAAAACCTAAAAACTCAGTTTCAATTTCCAGTAAGTTATTAGAAATTAACCATGATTTTTGGTTTTTCAAAAAACCGAAAATCTCAAGTTTTCAATTTTTCAAAAACTGAAATGTTAGTTTCAATTTCTAGTAAGTTATTGGAAATTAACCATGATTCTTTGTTTTTCAAAACCGAAAATCTTAAGTTTTCAGTTTTTAAAAAACTGAAAAATTAGTTTTAGTTTCTAGTAACTTATTTGAAATTAACCATGATTTTTTGTTTTTCAAAAACTGAACATCTCAAGTTTTCGGCTTTTCAAAAACCAAAAAGTCAGTTTCAATTTCTAGTAAGTTACTGGAAATTAACCATGATTTTCGGTTATTCAAAAAACCAAAAACTCAGTTTCAATTTCCAGTAAGTTACTAGAAATTAACCATGATTTTCGGTTTAATCTCAAATTTTCGGTTTTTGAAAAATCGAATGCTCAATTTCAATTTTTGCATAAAGTTATTGGAAATTAACCATGATTTTTGGTTTTTTGAAAAAACCAAAAGTCTCAAGTGCTGCTAGAACCAATGTTGTCAGATTCGTTTTGGAACTTTCTTCGGTTTGGTAAGGAAAATAAAGCAATTCGGTGCTTTGGACAATTCGGGGGAAGACTTTGGATTTTTTATGTAATATAATATAAATGGAAACTATATTCAATTAATAAAAATAAATATTAAAATATAAAAAATATATATATTAAAAATAAAAATTATAAAAAAAGAAATTCAATTTATGAGGACAAAACGGTCCTTTTACATGCTGAAGAGGTGGCTTGGTAATCAGCTTATTTTATTTTAATATAAGTAAAGGACCGTAGTGGAATTTTAGACACATTGACAAGGTGGTATTTATTGGAAGAGGACGATGAATTGATGATGCATGGGGCCACGTGGTAGTAAAATCTTGGTGTAACACATATGAGTTGGACTTGGGGCTTCGCGCTCTTTCACATTATGCTTGAAGAGTCGATGATGCCG